GCCGGGGCACGGCCTCGTCTGCGCGCAGCCGGCAGGACCGGTGCCCCAGGTTGCTGGAAGAGCCTTATCGGCCGGAGCCACTTTTCCCCTAGCCCTGCCGGGCCTTGGCACCCACAGTGCTCAACTCTGCCGTCTGGGTCGCTTCCCGCCCCGGCATCAGGGCCGCCCTGGTTGGGAGCGGCCTCCACCTCCAGCACAGAGGCCGGAGGTGGCGCTTCTGCTGGGGCTCTGCGCTGGGCCCCGGGGGTCTCTGCGCCCCGCCTCCGTAGAGCTCCCCGCCCCATTTTATGCCTGAGGTGGAGCACCCAGCTGCAGCCGGCACCGTGGGGTCATCCCAGGTCAAGACCTCTGGGGCGGCGGGCTAGGGCCAAGGCCCCCAGCACCTACCCACTCAGCAAGAGGTGGGGGCGGGACTGGAGCTCCACAGGCAGACTTGGGGCCTGCTCTGCCTCTCCAGCCTGACCCTGAACACCCAAATTGTGCTGGATATGTGAGGGTGGCCGCCTTAGGGGTGTATTCCGGTGGGTCTGACTACTTGTGGGGCCTGTGTGCCTCCCTGCAGAGGAGCCATGGAGGAGGTAGTGATTGCTGGTATGTCCGGGAAGCTGCCCGAGTCAGACAACTTGGATGAGTTCTGGGCCAACCTCATTGGAGGTGTGGACATGGTCACAGATGACGACCGGCGATGGAAGGCAGGTGAGTACCACAGGGAGCCGAGGGCAGCTTTGCTCTTTTCCTTGCGGAGTCCTGTGGCCAGGCCAGGAGCCCTCTGGGCTGCACTGTTCCTTCTGTACCCGGAGCCGGAAGGGAGGCTGGTTTGGCTCTCTCCCACCTGTAGAGCACTTCTACCTGATGGACAGGTGTGAGTCAGCAGCATGGTTGGGCCCAGCCAGCCTCTGGCCCCTCAGAGGATCTTCAGCTGGGTTCTGGGTGTTTTGGCAGGGGGTCCTCCTTGGAGATGGGGCTCGGGTCACCAGTCCTATTCGGGGGCCACTGTCTGCCTCTCCCAGGGACCCTCCTGGGTTCCACCCTGGCTGCAGGGGCCGGTGAGGCCTGTGGGTACCCCTGTCAGGAGGATGCCTGTTCTGTTCCACAGGGCTCTATGGCCTGCCTCGGCGGAGCGGCAAGCTGAAGGACCTATCCAAGTTCGACGCTTCCTTCTTCGGTGTCCACCCCAAGCAGGCGCACACAATGGACCCCCAGATGCGGCTGCTATTAGAAGTCACCTATGAGGCCATTGTGGATGCAGGTGGGTTGTAGTGGAGCTGCTGGTCACCCAGTGGCTCACTTCCAGGGTCGAGGTGACAGGGCAGGGTTCCGGATGGCAAAGCTCTTGTCTAGTGTGCTGAGGCCCTAGGCTCCATTCCCTGTGTTACAAAAGGAAACAGAGTATGGGATGCAGTGGCAGCTTTTAGGCTGTAAGGACCTCACAGGTGGAGTGTGGCATGGGTCTGCCTCCCTGGCCTCGGCCCCCTTCTGGCCTGATCTGGGGACAGTGGCTCAGGCAGCAGGGGCCCCTGGCAGCCAGTTTCACAACTGCACACTGGCCATATCCCAAGCTTTCCCTGTTGCCCCAGTTTTCTCACTCCCTGTGTCTGGTCTTGGGCTGAGGGTGGGACCAACAGTGGGGCCAGGTGCCCTGAGCAGAGTGGCTCAGCTTCTGCCACCGTCACAGCCTCCACACATTCACCTTCCACTCTAGGCCTTGGGCAACCTGATCGGAGCCCCTGCTTGGACAGAGGGCTGGATTACTGCCCCAGGCCTCCTCCTCTTTAGTTCCTGATAACCCTGCCCTTTTGCCACCTTGTCTCTCCCCCAGGCGGCCTCTGGTCAGTAGATGCTGGCTCGTCCCAGGCTCGCCATTAAGGCAGATGGGGTTTACTTACACCTACCCTGGGGTGCACTGCCAGCCTGGTGGGGCAGAACTGAAGGGCCTCCACAGTAGTAGAGGAGGCCTTTCCCTCAGGCTTTACTGGCTGCCCAGGCCCCACCCAGAGGCCTTGGGCACAACTCCTAGGGGGCTGTGGCCCACTGTCGTCTCCTTTCCTAGCCTGGACACTCAGCCTTTGTCTCCCTGTATCTCCTTATCTGGGCTTGTGCCAGGGCAGGCTGCCCTTGAAGCTGGGGTGCTCATTGGCCAGCAGGCCTGTCAGACCCGCTAGCGACACTGAGGGCCAAGGGATTTGCCTGGGGACAATGGTGTCCTCTGTCATTTCTCTGGCTGCCACCTGACCTAGACCTTGTGGACCCACTTGCTCCCTGAGGCCCCATCTCTGTGACCTGGTTCTACTTCCCAGCCCTACCTGGACTGGCTGCTCAGGGCAGCCCCGCCCCTCTGCCCTAGCACCCTGGTAGGACAAATGCCTCACACCCCTGAGGCCCTTTGGGGCCTGCTGGGCTTGGGCCTCTACCTGCAGAGCCATGTGGGAGATTTGGTTCTGACTCCTGCTCCTGCAGGTATCAACCCAGCCTCGCTCCGAGGGACGAACACCGGTGTCTGGGTGGGTGTGAGTGGCTCAGAGGCTGCAGAGGCCCTGAGCCGAGACCCCGAGACGCTTCTGGGCTACAGCATGGTGGGCTGCCAGCGAGCAATGATGGCCAATCGCATCTCCTTCAGCTTTGACTTCAAAGGTGCGTTTTTTTGCCCAGTCCTCTGGATACCAGGGTGGCCTAGCCTGACCCTGGGTCTTAGAGGCCCCAGGGGTGTGGCCGCACCCTTCATGCATGTGTCCCAACTGCCTGGGCCCAGGGCAGGACTGGTGAGGTGCTCAGGGCTTGGCATGCTCACTCCTTGTGCCGCTGCCCACAGGGCCCAGCATCGCCCTGGACACAGCCTGCTCCTCTAGCCTGATGGCCCTGCAGAACGCCTACGAGGCCATCCGCAGTGGGCACTGCCCAGCTGCCATTGTGGGTGGCATCAACGTGTTGCTCAAGCCCAACACCTCCGTGCAGTTCATGAAAATGGGCATGCTCAGCCCCGAAGGCATGTGCAGGTCCTTTGACGAAACAGGTGAGGCTGGCGGGAAGCCTGAGCAGGGCTTCCCTCTCCACTGCCCACCTGGTACAGCTCCACCTGACACCCTGCAGGGTCCCAGCAGCCCCAGAGTTCCCTCCCCAGAACAGGCCGCATCTTTCCAGTGCTGAGCAGGGTACCCCACTCACTGCCCATGCTCCTGCTGGCCTCAGTGGGCTGAGTCCCAGTGAAGTTCACTCTGGCCCAGGGAGCGGATACTGCCGTTCAGAGGCCGTCGTGGCTGTCTTGCTGACCAAGAAGTCCCTGGCCCGGCGGGTGTACGCCACTATCCTGAATGCTGGCACCAACACAGATGGCTCCAAGGAACAAGGTGGGCATGGGGGCGGCACCAGGCTGCTGCAGGTAGGATAGAAGGTGCTCTGTGCCTCACGCTGCCCTGACTCACGCAGGTGTGACCTTCCCCTCTGGAGAGGCCCAGGAGCAGCTCATCCGCTCCCTGTACCTGCCGGCAGGGCTGGCCCCAGAGTCACTGGAGTACATTGAAGCCCACGGCACAGGCACCAAGGTGAAGGCCCAGTGCCCCCCACCCCAGCCACACTGGAGGGGCCCCTAGCTCAAGCCCTGACTCCACATCCCCTGCAGGTAGGCGACCCCCAGGAGCTGAATAGCATCACCCGGGCCCTGTGTACCTCCCGCCAGGACCCGCTGCTGATTGGGTCCACCAAGTCCAACATGGGCCACCCCGAGCCTGCCTCAGGGCTTGCAGGTCTGGCCAAGGTAAGTACCTGAGCAGCATAGGTCCCTGTGCCCTGGATGGCCGTGAGGAGTGACTACCACACCTGTCTTGCCTAGTGGGAGTCAGCATTTTCCCCCAGGGTCCCCATCTGCCACATGTCCTGCTGAGCTGAGCTGCTCCTGGGGCCCAGCCAGAGAGAAAGCTCAGGCAGGTGGGTGCCTTCTTAGCTACCTTCCTGATTCAGCTGTGGAGATCTGGGGATCAGGGCAGACCAGTGTCCATTTTGGGGTACCCTCACCTGTCTTCCCCACACATACGTGTACCAACATGTTCCAACTTCCTGACTGGTTAGCCAGCCCCGCAGTACATGGCACTGGGCTGAGGACAGCTGCAGAAGCCCTGTGGTGGCAGGCACAGGCTGGGGATGGCCCTCTGTGGATCCCAGGGAGGCGGCCATTCCCTGCAGGGTCAGCTGCTCACCAGCAGGTGCTCTGACTGCAGGTGCTGCTGTCCCTGGAGCATGGGCTCTGGGCCCCCAACCTGCACTTCCATACCCCCAACTCTGAGATCCCAGCCTTGAGTGACGGGCGGCTGCAGGTGGTGGACCGGCCCCTGCCTGTTCGTGGTGGCAATGTGAGCATCAACTCCTTTGGCTTTGGAGGCTCCAACGTGCACGTCATCCTCCAGCCCAACACGAAGCAGCCCCCTGCACCTGCCCCCCACTCTGCCCTACCCCGCCTGCTTAGGGTCAGTGGACGTACCCTCGAGGCTGCACAGAGCCTGCTGGACCAGGGCTCCCAGCACAGCCAGGACCTGGCCCTTGTGACCATGCTCAATGACATCGCGGCCACATCCCCGTCATCCATGCCCTTCAGGGGCTATGCTGTGCTGGGGGTGGAGGGCGGTGGCCAGGAAGTACAGCAGGTGCCTTCTGGCAAGCGCCCACTCTGGTTTATTTGCTCAGGTGAGCCCAGCCCCATACCCCTCTGTTGAAGGGTGGGGGGCAGGTTGGCAATGGCCAAGCACTGACCCTCTTTGGCACAGGGATGGGCACACAGTGGTGCGGGATGGGAGTGAGCCTCATGCATCTGGGTGGCTTCCGCGACTCCATCCTGCGCTCCGATGAGGCCCTGAAGCCAGTTGGATTGAAGGTGTCGGACCTGCTGCTGAGCACAAAGAAAGACACCTTTGATGACGTTGTCCATGCCCTCGTGAGCCTCACTGCCATCCAGGTGGGCACGTGCCTGGTGCCAGGCCCTGGGGCACTGCTGTCATCAGAGCCTCTGGGGTATAGTGGTCCCAGTCTATCCAGCTCCTGCGTATAGGGTCTGGGGGAGGAGAGGGTTTCTCAGTGCCCAGCAGAGGACCCCAGTGAGGCCAGAATGGTGGCACGTGACCTGGGAGACTAATAGGGCTGGATGAGGTGGCTAAGGGGCCAGCGTGTGACATGTCTTGCCCTGTCCCCAGATTGCTCTCTTAGACTTGCTGACTTCCATGGGCCTGAGACCCGACGGGATCATTGGGCACTCCCTGGGGGAGGTGGCCTGTGCCTACGCCGATGGCTGTGTCTCCCAGGAGGAGGCTGTGCTTGCAGCTTACTGGAGAGGCCAGTGTGTCAAGGAGGCCAGCCTCCCGTCAGGCACCATGGCTGCTGTGGGTAGGTGTAACCCTGTACCCCTCAATTCCTCCACAGACCCCAGGGACCCTGGTACCCCCAAAAGGGAAGGGCTGTGCTGTGCAGGTGCTGTGCAAGAGTTCCCAGGATGTACAACCCCAGCCCCAGGCCAGTAGGCTTTCTGATGGTCTGCTTATGGGATGCTGGCTGGCCTCAGCTTGTTCCTGTGCCACCCACCCACGAGGCCCTGGGACTCAGCCCGTCAGGACAGGGTGATGAGGCCCAGGTCCCTGTGGTCCCCATGGCATCACTGTTGGGCTGGCCTTAGGCGTCACCCCCGTAATGACACCCCTGCCTGGAAGCAGAGGAGGCAGGGGTGAAAGTGGCTTGGGAAGACCCTTGGAGGCTGTTATTAGGTCCTCTGTCATTAAGGCCAACGCCCCTGGCTCTAGGCTGTACCCATAGCCATGCCCTCTGGTCAGGAAGAGCAGTGGGTGGGGGCTCAGACTTTTCCTCTGAGGCCTGCTCTGCTCACAGGCTTGTCCTGGGAGGAGTGTAAACAGCGCTGCCCCTTGGGCATCGTGCCTGCCTGCCACAATTCTGAGGACACAGTGACCATCTCGGGACCTCAGGTGGGCCTGCCGTTAGCAGGGACCAGCTGGCCATGCGAGGCTTCAGTCTGCACCTAGCAGCTTCAGAGGGCCCAGACCCCTCCCTGCCCCTTGGGTGGGCTCCTCTCCCGGCCCTGCACCACGACCTGAGCTTGGTGGATGGAACTGGGTTTGTGTCCCATAGAAAGCCGGGTCAAGGTCCCTCTTACCTCCCCTGATGCCTCCAGGCCGCAGTGAGCAAGTTCGTGGAGCAGCTGAAGCAGGAGGGAGTGTTTGCCAAGGAGGTGCAGACAGGCGGCATAGCCTTCCACTCCTACTTCATGGAGGCTATCGCGCCTGCACTGCTGCAGGCTCTCAAGAAGGTGGGTGCCCATGGTGTGCACAGCCCCCGCAGAGCCCGCGGCCTGTGCCACCGTGCTGACCCTGCTGTGCTCCTGTGTGCAGGTGATCAGGGTGCCGCGGCCACGCTCGGCCCGCTGGCTCAGTACTTCCATCCCCGAGGCCCAGTGGCAGGGCAGCCTGGCGCGCACTTTCTCCGCTGAGTACAACGTCAACAACCTGGTGAGCCCAGTGCTGTTCCAGGAGGCTCTGCGGCACATCCCTGAGCACGCCGTGGTCGTGGAGATCGCACCCCACGCCCTCCTGCAGGTGCGCACTGGGCCTTGGTGGGCTGGCACTGGCAGGGCCCCGGGGATAGCTGGAGGGAGCCCCGACCTCTCCCTGCCTGCTTCAGGCCGTCCTGAAGCGGGGCCTGAAGCCCAGCTGCACCATCGTGCCCCTGATGAAGCGGGACCACAAGAACAACCTGGAATTCTTCCTCACCAACGTTGGCAAGCTCCACCTCGCAGGGTGAGTGAGTCCCCCTTCTTGCTGAGCCCTAGGAGTTGAGGTACAGGCAGGTGGCCTCTGGGAACTGGGCGGCTGAACCAAGTACCCCGGTGGCACTCTGGCTGTGGACCTCTGGCCCTTGCCCCCAGGCCATCTTTTGGGGTCCAGGGAAGACAGATGTGTAAGCCCCAGGCTGGGCGGCTGCTGCTACTCACTAGTCTCTCTCCCTACACCAGTGTCGATGCCAACCCCAATGCCTTATTCCCACCTGTGGAGTTCCCAGCTCCCCGAGGAACCCCCCTCATCTCCCCCCACATCAAGTGGGACCACAGCCAGACCTGGGATGTGCCGGCCACAGAGGATTTCCCAAATGGCTCAGGCTCCTCCTCTGCCACTGTCTACAACATTGGTGAGCCAGGCCCCACCAGGCCCCAAGCCAGCTGGACCCTTTCTGGATGTTCAGGCGGGCGGGCACTGAGGCCTGCTTCTGCCTGCAGATGCCAGTCCTGAGTCCCCTGACCACTACTTGGTGGACCACTGCATCGATGGCCGTGTGCTCTTCCCTGCCACTGGCTACCTGGTTCTTGTCTGGAGGACGCTGGCTCGTAGCCTGGGCCTGCCCTTAGAGCAGACCCCCGTGGTGTTCGAGGGTGTGACGCTGCACCAGGCCACCATCCTGCCCAAGACAGGTGAGGGTGCCGCTGCGGGGGAGGGGACAGCCGGAGGGGCCACAGCCAGGCTCTGACCCCACTGCTCCACAGGGACTGTGGCCCTGGAGGTGCGGCTGCTGGAGGCTGCCCACGCTTTCGAAGTGTCTCATAATGGCAACCTGATTGTGAGCGGTGAGTGGAGCTGCCCACCACGGGCTGGGAGGTGTCAGCCTGTCTTCTGGTGCTCAGGCCCTCCTGCCACCCCTGCCCTCAGGAAAGGTGTACCAGTGGGAGGACCCCGACCCCAAGCTCTTCGACCACCCAGAAGGCCCGGGTCCCATGGAGCCTGTGCCCACTTCCTGTCTGGCCCCGGCGGACGTATATAAGGAGCTGCGGCTGCGTGGCTATGACTATGGCCCCAACTTCCAGGGCATCTTCGAGGCCAGCCTCAGAGGTGGGCACACCCCTCACCATCCCTGCGTGGGACTGGGCCCTACGGCTGTGGCCGGCAGCGTGAGGCAGAGCAGAGCGCCCAGGGCTCTGACTTAAGCTTCTCCCTCAGGTGAGCGGGGCAAGCTGCTCTGGAGAGACAACTGGGTGACGTTCATAGACACCATGCTGCAGACGGCCATCCTGGGTACAAGCCAGCGTAGCCTGAGCCTGCCCACCCGTGTCACCGACGTGCGCATCGACCCCACCGTCCACCTGCAGAAGGTGCACACGCTACAGGACCAGACCCAAGGTAACCCTGCGCAGCCCTGCCCCACACCCATGTCCAGCCCAGCATTGCCCTCGCTCACCAGCCTGTCCCCACAGTGGTTGACTTCGTGGTCAGCTCCGCTCTGAGCAGAATAGTGGCTGGCGGCGTCTACATCTTGCAGCTCCATACAACATCAGCCCCGCGACGGCAGCAGGAGCACATGGTGCCCACCCTGGAGAAGTTCTGCTTCTCACCCCATGTGGAGGTGGGCTGCCTGTCTGAGAGCACGGCCCTGCGGGAGGAGCTGCAGCTGTGCAAGGGTGAGGCGGGCACCGGGCCTCCCAAGATGCCAGTGCTGGTCTGTGCGCCTCTCCGTGTGGACCCCCAAGACTGCTTGCCTTCCCTCCCTTCCTCAGTCCTATGGCTGTCGGCTGTCCCGATCTCAGCAGGGGCTTCAAGGCCACATCTGCCAGTGGGGCCGTGTCCTAGTCTGGGAGTGGGAGATGGGACCGGTACCCATAGGTCGCACTTTGGCCCACCTGCCTTCAGCAAGTCTCTGGTCCTCTGGGCCCCGGGCAGTGGTCAGGGAGCTCAGCAACATGTTCCATCTTCTTTCCCAGGCCTGGCACAGGCACTGCAGGCCAAGGCGGCCCAGCAGGGGCTGAAAATGGTGGTGCCTGAGCTGGATGGGGCCCAGATGCCCCAGGAACCCCCGCAGCAGGGGCTGCCCCGTCTTCTGGCCGCTGCCTGTCAGCTGCAGCTGAATGGAAACTTGCAGCAGGCACTGGCCCAGGAGAGAGCCCTGCTGCCTGAAGACCCCCTGCTCAGCGGCCTCCTGAACTCCTCAGTGCTTAAGGCCTGCTTGGACACAGCCCTGGAGAACCTGCCCAGCCTGAAGATGAAGGTGGTGGAGGTGGGTGCCGGGCAGAGCCACAGGAGCCAGGGAGGCTGCACTCACAACCCTAGGCCACCCCTCAACCAGGCAGGAGAAAGCCATGTCTGGAGGAGGAACAAGGCTGGGGAAGGGTCTGGCTGGCTCTGAGTGTGTGGTCTGTGCAGTCCACGTGGCTGCCTTGGGAGGCCTTGGGCTCCGGGGTTGGGGGCTACTACAGACAGTGGAGTAGCAGCCACCCTGCCTCAGGTGGGGCCCCTGACCCAAGAGCCTGCTCCCCTGCCACAGGTGCTTGCTGGCGATGGTCACCTATATTCCCACATCCCGGACCTGCTAAACACCCACCCCATGCTACAGCTGGACTACACAGCCACTGACCGCCACCCCCAGGCCCTGGAGGTTGCCCAGGACAAGCTGACGCAGCTTGGTGTTGCCCAGGGCCAGTGGGACCCTGTAGACCCTGTCCCCAGCAGCCTGGGCGCAGCAGACCTCCTGGTGTGCAATGGTGCCGTGGCCACCCTGGGGGACCTGAACCTGGCCCTGGCCAACATGGCAGCTGCCCTCAAGGAGGGTGGCTTTCTGCTCCTGCACACCATGCTCCGAGGGCACACCCTTGGGGAGACGCTGGCCTTCCTTACCTGGGAGCCACAGAGTGGACCCGCCCTCCTGAGACAGGTGCCACTGCTGGGGCGTGTGGCTAGGTGGGGCCAGGGGCTGAGCCCGCTGGTGCTGACTCCCCACCCACCCCCAGGATGAGTGGGAGAGTCTGTTCTCGAGGGCAGCTCTGCGTCTAGTGGGCCTAAAGATCTCGTTCTACGGTTCTGCAATCTTCTTGTGCCGCCGGCCCGCCCCACAGGACAGCCCCATCTTCCTGCCTGTGGAAGACACCAGCTTCCGATGGGTGGACTCTCTCAAGGTCTGGCTGGAACTGGCTGCCCTGCCCTAGCCCGGCCTGGATCCCTCCTGGAAGCTGACCCTTCCCTTGTCCTGCAGGACATTCTGGCTGAGGTGTCCCCCCGTCCCGTGTGGCTGACGGCTCTGGGCTGCCCCACCTCAGGTGTGGTGGGCCTGGTGAACTGTCTCCGGAAAGAACCCGGCGGGCACCGGATCCGGTAGGAGGGATGCCCACCGAGCTGTGCCACTCCCCGGCCTTCACCACACCTTCCCACGAGCTCCTCAGTACCTCTGGCTTCCCACAGGTGCATCCTGCTGTCCAGCCTCAGCAGCGCGTCACATGTCCCCAAGATGGACCCTGGCTCTGCAGAGCTGCGGAAGGTGCTGGAGGATGACCTGGTGATGAACGTGTACCGTGATGGCGCCTGGGGTGCCTTCCGTCATTTTCTCCTTGAGCAGGGTGAGCCAGCAGCACTACCTGTCCTTGTCAGGCTGAGGTGGGTGGGAACCCTGTCCAGCTGGACCCCGTGGCAGCCCTGCTTCTGTCCCCTCAGACAAGCCCGAGGAGCAGACATCACACGCCTTTGTGAATGTCCTCACTCGTGGGGACCTCTCCTCCATCCGCTGGGTCTGCTCCCCGCTGAAGTTCGCTCGGCCCAGCAGCCCTGAAACGCTTCTCTGTACCATTTACTACGCCTCACTCAACTTCCGGGACATCATGTTGGCCACGGGCAAGCTGTCCGCTGATGCCATCCCAGGTGCCCACCGGGACAGGGCCTTGGTGGGGACAGGGCAGGGCCGCGGCAGCCCCTCCTGAGAAGGAAGGTGGCTGCCACAGCAGGCTCACTTTTATCTGCCCCAGGGAAGTCGCTCAACCGGGACTGCTTACTGGGCATGGAGTTCGCAGGCCGTGACGCCCAGGGCCGGCGAGTGATGGGGCTGGTGCCCTCTGAAGGCCTGGCCACCTCCGTGCTGGTGCCATCAGCCTTCCTGTGGGATGTGCCCTCCAACTGGTGAGCGTGCAGGGCTGCAGGCGGAGACCCCGCAGAATGCCTCTTGGCGGCCAGGCCCGGCTGACTGTTACTGTGTCCTCAGGACGATGGAGGAGGCAGCTTCCGTGCCCGTTGTTTACAGCACAGCCTACTACGCGCTTGTGGTGCGGGGGCGCATCAGGCCTGGGGAGTCGGTGCTCATCCACTCAGGCTCAGGCGGGGTGGGCCAGGCCGCCATTGCCATCGCCCTCAGCCTGGGCTGCCGAGTCTTCAGCACCGTTGGTAAGGCCCTGTCCCTGCCTGCGCATCTCGGCCCCGCCACCCACCTGGCCTGCAGCCCACCCGGCACCTTGCCCTGCAGGCTCAGCCGAGAAGCGGGCCTACCTCCGGTCCAGGTTCCCCCAGCTGGACGAGACCAGCTTCGCCAACTCAAGGGACACATCTTTCGAGCAGCACGTGATGCTGCACACGGGCGGGAGAGGTGAGAGCTGCCACAGCCCTCTGCCGCTGGGTGGGGGCCGTAGGAACAGGGCCGTAACCTAGGATCTGTCTCCCACCCAGGCGTTGACTTGGTCCTCAACTCCCTGGCCGAAGAGAAGCTGCAGGCCAGCGTGAGGTGCCTGGCCCAGCACGGCCGCTTCCTGGAGATCGGCAAATTTGACCTTTCCAACAACCACCCGCTTGGTGAGACCACCAGCCCCGGGGTGGGCGGCGGCTGGCAGGCCCCAGGGTGGCGCAGCTGTCCTGATGAACGTGGCCCCCCACCCAGGCATGGCCATCTTCCTGAAGAACGTCACCTTCCACGGGATCCTGCTGGATGCCCTCATGGAGGAAGACAGCCTCCAGTGGCAAGAGGTGTCAGGCCTCCTGCAATCTGGCATCCGCGACGGTGTGGTGCAGCCCCTCAAGTGCACCGTGTTCCCCAAGGCCAAGGTGGAGGACGCCTTCCGCTACATGGCCCAGGGGAAGCACATTGGCAAAGTCCTTGTCCAGGTGAGGGGAGCACCCCGCCGCCCTGACCCCAGCTGCCCAGTGGCTCTGGCCCTCGTGGGCATCTGAATGGCTCCTGCTTGGCCGCAGGTACACGAGGAAGAACGAGAGTCCTGGCTGCAAGGAGCACAGCCAGCCCTCATGGCTGCCATCTCCAAAACTTTCTGTCCGCCCCACAAGACCTACGTCATCGTGGGTGGCCTGGGTGGCTTCGGCCTCGAGCTGGCCCAGTGGCTGTTGGTGCGGGGAGCCCAGAAGCTTGTGTTGACCTCTCGTTCTGGGATCCGCACAGGTGGGCAGTTGAGGTGGGGCGGAGGCAGCCTGGCTTGGGGTGTGCGCCTGTCTTTCCCGGGGACCACTCCTCCCCGCCCTTCCGAGCCCCGAACCCTGTGTCCCGCAGGCTACCAGGCCAAGCAGGTCAGTGAGTGGAGGAGCCGTGGAGTGCAGGTGCTGGTGTCGACCCGAGACGCCAGCTCACTGGAGGGAGCTCGCGCCCTCATTGCCGAAGCCACGCAGCTGGGGCCAGTCGGAGGGGTCTTTAACCTCGCCGTGGTAAGAGAGCCGTTCTCACACCAGTGGACTCCAAAGCCAAGGCGGGGCTGCAACCGCAGGGTGGGACGGAGCCACAGCCGTGCTGAGGACACTTCCCTCCTCCCAGGTCCTGAGAGATGCCATGCTGGAGGACCAGACCCCGGAGCAGTTCCAGGATGTCAACAGGCCCAAGTACAGTGGCACCCTCAACCTGGACAGGTGGGTCGGGGCTGCCCACCAGCAGCCTTCTTGGGCCGTCCTGGGGCGGTGCCAGGGGAGGGCCCTGGGTGTGGCCGCAGGTGGAAAGTGACAGGAGTGCCCACAGGGTGACCCGAGAAGCCTGCCCCCAGCTGGACTACTTCGTGGCCTTCTCTTCCGTGAGCTGTGGGCGTGGCAACATGGGCCAGAGCAACTACGGCTTCGCCAACTCCACCATGGAGCGCATCTGTGAGCAGCGCCGGCACGACGGCCTCCCAGGTGGGCCCCCCACAGCTGCCACCCGGCCCGTGCCACCCCGCGCCCACCGCCTTCACTCACCACCCCTTACCCTTGTCCACAGGCCTCGCCATACAGTGGGGTGCCATTGGCGACGTGGGCATCTTGCTGGACGTGCTGGGTGGCACGGACCTCGTCGTGGGCGGCACGCTGCCCCAGCGCATTGTCTCTTGCCTGGAGGTGCTGGACCTCTTCCTGCAGCAGCCCCACGCTGTCCTGAGCAGCTTCGTGCTGGCCGAGAAGAAGGCTGCGGCCCACAGGGACAGCAAAGACCAGCAGGACGTGGTGCAGGCTGTGGCCCACATCCTGGGTGAGTGCTGTCCCGGCCCCAGGCCTGTGCCTCCTGAGCCTCCATTTCCCCATCTGCAGAAGGGATGAGTCACAGACGCAGGCGTCCACAGGGCTTGGCCAGGTGCTGGTGTGACGCTGGCCGTCATGCACAGACCCCCTGAGCCCAGCACCCCAGCCTCAGCCCTGTGCCCACTCGGGCCAGCCCACTCGAATGGCGCCCGGCACCTCCCTCCCCAGGCATCCGAGATTTGGCTGGCATCAACCTGGACACCTCACTGGCGGACCTGGGCCTGGACTCGCTCATGGGTGTGGAGGTGCGCCAGACCCTGGAGCGGGAGTACGACCTGGTGCTGTCCATGCGTGAGGTGCGGCAGCTCACGCTGAAGAAGCTGCAGGAGCTGTCTTCCAAGGCCAGCCCAGCCGGAGGTGCGTGCGGCCGCATTCAGGGAAGGGGCTGGCAGCGGGTGTAGAGCAGCACGGGCATGGAGCCAGCCTGGCATCTGCTCTATCCTCCCAGAGCTGGGATCCCCCAAGGCCAAGGATGACACCCAGGTGCAGCCACAGGCCCAGCTGAACCTGAGCACACTGCTGGTAAACCCCGAGGGCCCCACCCTGACTCAGCTCAACTCGGTCCAGAGCACGGAACGGCCACTGTTTCTGGTGCACCCCATCGAGGGTTCTACCACCGTGTTCCACAGCCTAGCCGCCAAGCTCAGCATGCCCACCTATGGCCTGCAGTGCACCAAAGGTACATGCCCAGTCCCCCGGGCGGCCCCAGCCCGAGGCCCCTCACGCTGACCCCCTGCTGCTGCCGTTGCAGCTGCCCCACTGGACAGCATCCAGAGCCTGGCTTCCTACTACATCGACTGCATCAAGCAGGTGCAGCCCGAGGGGCCCTACCGTGTGGCCGGCTACTCCTACGGGGCCTGCGTGGCCTTCGAGATGTGCTCCCAGCTGCAGGCCCAGCAGGGCCCGGCCCCCGCCCACAACAGCCTCTTCCTGTTTGATGGCTCGCACACCTACGTGCTGGCCTACACCCAGGTGAGAGCAGGTGGCAGCCTCCCGTGTTCCTGCTCCGGGTGCGTGTCGCCTGGGAGCGCCCCAGTGCGCTGTTGTGCAGCCACCACCTTCTGCCCCCACAGAGCTATCGGGCGAAGATGACCCCGGGCTGTGAGGCGGAGGCTGAGGCAGCGGCCATATGCTTCTTCGTGCAGCAGTTCACCCAGCAGTTCACAGAAGCCGAGCACAACAGGGTGGGTCAGGGCTGGGCGGGGAGCTCGGGGCCTCTGCCCCTAAGCCCATGGCCTGGGGTCGGCCAGCTGGGCTCCCACACTCAGAGCCTCCCTCGCAGGTGATGGAGGTGCTCTTGCCACTGAACAACCTGGAGGAGCGCGTGGCTGCCGGCGTGGACCTCATCTCCAACAGCCATCAGGGCCTGGACCGGCGGGCGCTGAGCTTCGCCGCCCTGTCCTTCTATCACAAGCTGCGCGCCATCGAGCAGTACACACCCAAGGCCAAGTACCACGGCAACGTGACGCTGCTGCGGGCCAAGACCGGAGGCGCCTACGTCGAGGACCTGGGCGCCGACTACAACCTCTCACAGGTGGGCAGGCGGGTGGCACCCCAGGGAAGGTGGCCAGCCACGGTCGGGTGCAGCCTGGCTCACAGTCACCACCCGCAGGTGTGCGACGGGCAGGTGTCTGTGCATGTCATCGAGGGCGACCACCGCACACTGCTGGAGGGCAGTGGCCTGGAGTCCATCATCAACATTATCCACAGCTGTCTGGCTGAGCCACGAGTGAGCGTGCGAGAAGGCTAGGCCTGCCGTGCCAGCCCATCACCAGGGACTGGCAGCACCCCACACCCACACCCACACCCAGCGCGCTGAGGCTGGGGGTCCTGCCGGTGGGACCTGCCCAGGCCCAGCACCACTGCCTTCACTGGCGGCTGCTGAAGCAGGACTGTGACACGCGTCCCACCCACCTGCCCTCCCTGGCATGCCAGGGGACTGAGCCACTGACTTGGAGACGCTTGGTCTGTGAAGAGCCAGTGGAACCGGCAGAGCCGGGCTGAGCCTTTTGTACCCTGTGAAGTTGGCCAGGCTGGCTGGTGATTGCTGATCTGTTTAGAGCCCCATATTTATTACGTTCCTGGGAAAGACCCCAGGACCAGGCCCCATCCTGTGAAGGTAGCAGGTCCCTAGGGGTACCACACCCTCTTCGTACTGTGCACAGGCACCGCGCAGGCCTGCCAGAGCCCCACCCAGGCCGCGCTCCTGCCCACTGCGGGGTGGGCTGGTGTCCGGCCCCCAGCACCCTCTGCACCCATGATGCAGGGCCAATGTGGCCCTGCGGACCGCACGGGCAGCAACCTGCATTCGTGTTTGTTTTGCAAGAAACAATTCAAATTGCCGCTTAGATTTTGAAATTGACTGTAACTGTCAGTGTAAAGAACATGTCTGGATCTTGTCTCATTTTTACACCAACTTGATAAAAATGCTGCTCTTAATGCCCCGTTCCAAGCCTCCCCACTATTAAAGCGCACATGAGCTCCGGCTCTGGCCAGTTCCTTCTTCCTCCGGGCTTTAGCCCTGTCCTGCCAGAGCTTTCTACCATGGCACCATGGGGAGTAGAGGGGCTTGGCCCAGGGAGGGGAAGCCAGCTGGGACCCTAGGTGGGGTGGCGTGGGGACCCCACAGGCGGGTGCCAAGGACCCAGCCAGTCGCCTATGGGCTGGGAGGCAGGAAGTCCCTGGCCGTGGCCAGTGGGGCAGAACTGTCTCCCTGGGGGTTCTGAGGGCTCAGCTGATGGGATGGGCGCGGGAGGGTACACTTGCTGAAGGAAGCCCTCAGAAAAGTCACGCAACACAGGACTATAGGGAGAAAGTGGGGCAGGGCCCTGAGGACCTGAATCCCTGACATCAAGGGTCAGAGGCATCTGGAGACCTGAAGGCAGAGAGGGCTGCTGCCTGCACATGTGAACAAGGGGGCCCCAAGGCTGGGTACTAGCTGGGAGGATTCACAGGAAAGTACAGGGGCTTCTGTGCACCTGGGGATTGTGCCTGGCAGACAGGAAGCCTTGGTAATTACCAGGCACTGAGTTTCCCAAAGATCTGTTTCGCTGTAGCCCAAAACTAGCTAACTAGTTACTACTTAGCTCTGGTCCCACCTAAAAAAATAAATCTTGTGCCGGGGATTTAACTCAGTGGTTCTGCCTGCCTCGCAAGCACAAGGACCTGAGTTCAATCTCTGATAC